ATCGCAAAACGTTGAAATTTTTGGAACAATTACTTTAAATATTAGTTATAATCTACTCTCAAATTTTAAGTTACAGGATGTTGAAACAATTTATAGTCATCCAAAGATAATACTGTATTTATTGTTAAGTAGATTATTTTACTTTTTTAAGTAAATTATTGATAATTTTACTATAAATAAACCTTTCCTTCTACTTTAATTTTTGATGATTTGTTAGTTTATTTTTCATACCTCCCATGTATAAAACTTTATTTGTTAGATTGATTATACTTGTAGAATTTAAAAGAACTCTAATTTATCAAAAATTAGTTAGTTTATTGTCAAGTTATTTATATTTAAATTTTTAATAAAAAATATTTGCCTAGATTCTATTAACCTCCTCAATATGCTTAATTGTCACTGTCCAAACTCAAAATAATTTGAAAATTACACAAATATTAGGATTAAAGTAAAATTTTTAGTTATTGGCATTTTTTTCTTGCTTTAACAGCCCAAAAATTTGTCTCATGACAACATCGGCGCTACTCAAGTCTTTATGAGTCACATCACTATGATAGAAACAAAGACAAAATATTAAATATCTATGAAAACTTTGAATTTTATAAATTCTTTTTGTTGTTTTATTGGATATTAAATCGTTAAAGCATCAACTATACTTAATTGCATGCTTAGTTAACACTGCATAAAACCATAATATTATAAAACACTACCTATCATAGCAGTTCCCTTCATAGCAACTCCTCCTTGTATATTTTCAGCCCAAACATCAAAAGATTTATCATTAATATCACTTTTACTTCCACATAACTTAAACTCTTCGCCAACATATAAAGGACTTAATGCTCTATAAGAGAAAGATCTAATATATGCAGTACTTGGCAGATTGTCACGAACCAGATCAAGAAGAAAAGTACAGGTGAGTGGTCCGTGGACCAAGTAACCTATTTATGAATTGTTTAAATGAATTTGATCAAAATCACATTTTGGGAAAATTAATATATGGTGGCGGCCGAAAATACCTCATCACATCTGAATAAATAGTATTTATTAATATTTACCAGGATATCCTTCAGCTTTAGTTGAATAAATGTGATCATAGTGAATACGATGACTATTAAAAGTTAAAGCGGAATACCGAAATAATAAAATCGAAGAAGGAGATATGATTTTTTCAAATTCAGGTGTCATGTTTGCTATATATAGGTTCATATTAAAATTTGCACAACTCATTAAAAATAATAATAATAAAACCATACTAGTGATAATTTTTCTCGAAGGCCTAGGCTTATTTTCCTCTCTTGCTGGCATGTAAACTAAACATCTAGTATCTTTCACACTCCATCCATTTTCATTACTAATGCATTTATCATGCCAAACAAAAACATTTTCTCCTAATTTACCGATTTTATGTTCTACATCACGAATTTTAGTAGTCATTGTCGCCTTTT